GCATGCGTGGAGGTTTCCTCCTCCTTAGGCTGGAGCTGATTTTTCGGGAGTTAGCGAGGAGCGTTTCCTGTCCAGTTCCCGTCTCCGCGCTTCGTCTGCCGTTGTGCCTTCTCCCTGCGCTTTATGATAACCCCTTTTTTTTTTTTGTATGCCAGGAAGAGGATAGAAAAAAAGGCAGCGTGTTGTGCCACAACATGGGAATATTGTTGTATCCTGATGGGTTATAGAATTCTCTTACAGTGGTGACTAACGCTACTGACGTTTATGTCCTCTTAACGGATTCAATAAAACCTTTCAAAATTAAAAAAAAAAAAAAGAAAACAGAGGGTAAGTCTTTTTAAATAGGAGATAGTCAAACATTTTCCAAGAGAATGTTTTGCTCATGAAGATGTGGATTCATGAGATTCTAATAGTTCTGTGAAGTAATTATTTGGCATTAAAATAGCTTCTATTCCAGAACCGAAACTGTACAGCCAACTGTTCTGGAAGAATTAGTCTGTAGGCACTGTCCAGTGAATTTTTTTGTGGATAAGGGATACTTCACTACTTCTAATAATAGCGACTTTGTATATTGAAGAAAGTCTACAGACATGCTATAATTTCGAGAAGTGCAGTAGTTCAAATTAAATGCAGACATGAAGTTAATTCGGAGAACAGTATAATTACATGTCAAATCAGCTTAAACGTGCTGAGTTCTTGTTAATCTAATTTATAGCCCCTGGTCAAAGAAATCCCTGCGTCAGTATTTATGCAATCCGTGTCTGAATACATCTTTAAGTATGCAAGCCAGAGTATTTCAGAGAAGTCTTTGCATTATCGCATCAGATGTGGTGTTTCCACTAGACCTGTAGCTGTATTTTATGGAGTAAAGGCAGGAAGGGTTGGTGGTGACTTGGGAGAACTTGGTACTTAAGGGTACCATGTGAGAGAGAGTTACTTACTGAAAAAATCACAGCTGACCTGGATTAACTACTGCAGGTTCCAGATTTCATCTACTTTAGGCATTGTCACTTAGTCCCACCCTATTATATGCAGCTGTAATTACTACAGGGAACTCAGAGCAGCGTATTTATTCACTTGTCCCTTCTGTGGGCACTGAAACCCCAAACCGCTGTAGGAAGGCATAAAACCTGACTCTGCAAACTGCCTCACTTTGGTGGGGGAGCTGTCACAGGGTAGGTCTCATGGAAAACCCCAGAGGGTGAGAGTCTGGTGTCAAGCATTTGGGATGATCGTATTTCTTTTGGAGAGATCACTCCCACAGAGAAATTTACCCTGGGAGAGCAGAAGGGGCAAGAGGAGTCACTGAACAGCGCCTGGCGGGTTTGCAGCCACCGACGTAATTGGCCCCTATCTGGGAGGGTCCTGGCGCTTCTACTGTGCATGTCACCACGGACCACAAAATCCTCCCCACTACACTGTAGTAAGCTGAAGAGCTATAATAAAAGACCACAAGCCACAGCTGTAACGTGCCACAGTGTTCTTTGACACCCCTCACAGCCTCGGCTGACCTCTCAGCGCTTTCCTAGCTCCTGGAGCACTGTCAGCACTGGTGCTCCAGTACCAGTGCCCCAGTACCTCCGAAACCCATGAGGTACGGGGAAAAAACTTGGGGCCTAAGTGCCACCACTCTGTGTCGCCCTCCTTCCCACCTATCTACACCCTTC